TCCGACACTCGCCCGTCACCGAGCTGATGCTGACGCCGGGTCTGACCGTCCAGCAGCTGGCTATGGCGGCCGGCTGCTTCAGCAGAGACGGTGAGTCGGTCGCCGTCGCCGCCGCCGAAAACGGCCGCTGGTGACTTTGTTGGCGTGCCCGTCCGATGCGCCCACTCCTCATGTCCTCACCACCTGTCCCGCGCCGCCGGTCGGCCCGGCGTCGCGGGAGATGTGCCGGCTGCCGCGGACGGTCCTCGGTCATAGAGGCCGACTCAGGTTCCAGGTCATCACGGCCGCTGGGCGGCGACAGCTGTTTGGCTGGTTATCAACAGCTTTGATGGCGGACTTCAATAAAGGGTCCCTACAGGCGTACACCACGCCACTTCAAGCGTAATCTGGCGGTGCTCATTCGCTATCGCAGCGGGAATTTATCAACGTGGAATTTTAATCGGAATGTAGGTGCAGTCGCGTTGGGATTATAACCACTTTGGGTTAATCAGTCTCCATTGGAAACCCGTACCAAATCAACATCGGTAGAACATGTGGGAGACCCTTGACGTCACTGTCCCTGTCCGCTGCTCCACGCCGCGACGGTGCTGCCGCCAGCGGACGCGGCGCGCATTATCGAAGCCGGCGGTCTGCACATCAACCAGCGCCGCGTCGCTTCGACGGAGGAAGTGGTCACAGCAGACAGTCACGTGCTTCCCAACGGCCTGACGCTCATCAGGGTCGGTGAGTCTCGAGCTGGCCACGTGATCGGCCGGCCGCTGGCGGTATCGGGGCTGCTCTGTCACGCGCCATCCACATGACGCTCCGGCCACGGGCGTGATATGTTTGTGCCGCGCTAGAGTTAGAAGGCTCGTGTTGAAACGGTTGATGGAGGGGGTTGAGCTGCTGGTTTTCCACTGTCGCTTTCGGCGGTCACATCCCGCATGAACCAGTATGTACCAGTAGAAACTGGCTCACTTGTAAAACATGGGAAAACGTCTTTACTTGTAGACATGCTGTTCCGCCCTCACTGCCCAGGTACAATCATCCAGACTCCAAACTGTATCAAAGCACTCCGCGAAATAAAACCAGTTCATAGGAGCGTAAATGGGCGTTCTTATTATCTCTTGTTAACCCAGCTATTCCGTCCACATAGCGTGTCAGTTACTTTTAGACGCAGAAAGCTTTCCAAACTCTTGTTCATTTCATTTCAAAAACGTTCCATGTGTTCTACCGTAAAACATCTCTAGTACCGTTGTTGGCGTCTGCAGTACCGTTGTAAGAGTCTGCAGTACCGTTCTGGGTGTCTGCAGTACCGTTGTTAGTGTCTGCAGTACCGTTGTGGGTGTCCGCATTACCGTTGTAAGCGTTTGCAGTATCGTTGTCAGCGTCTGCAGTGCCGCTGTTAGCGTGTACAGTATCGCTGTCAGCGTCTACAGTACCGTTGTCAGCGTCTGCAGTACCGTTGTAAGCGTCTGCAGTACCGTTGTTAGCGTCTGCAGTACCGTTGTTAGCGTCTGCAGTACCGTTGTTAGCGTCTGCAGTACCGTTGTTAGCGTCTGCAGTACCGTTGTTAGCGTCTGCAGCACCGTCTGCGGTACCGCTGTGAGCGTCCCCTGCATCGATGTTGTTCCGTAGATCGCGTTGGTCACCGCGTGCAGCCACGGGCACTGACAAGGCTCCCGGCTCACAGGCAAGAAGAACTTCTACATAGTTAAGTGGGTGTGAGAGGAGGCGAGACCACGAGACGTAGCGGCTTTCCGCGCCTCAGCGGCCGGCGGTCGGCACTCTGTCAGCGCTCCTCGACTGAGAATTTCTCAGCCGACGCACGACTGGGTTATCGGTCCGATGCTGCCGGCCGAGGCTGTGGAGAGTTCTCGGTACACGCACGGCCGCGTTCTCCATCCGATGCTCTCGGCTGAAACTGTGGAGAGTTCTCAGCGGACACACGATCGTGTTCTCATACGATGCTCTCGGCTGAAACTGTGGAGAGCTTCAGTCGGCTGCGTGTGAGTGATTATCTGCCGCGACGGTGGGAGATCAGGCGGAATGCGGGTGGACGAGCCATTCCGTGCTCCTTTCCGGGACTCCGGAGCGACGTAGGCCAAACTATGTCCGGAATAAAACGCCGCCATCCTGTGATCATATTTTGGTTAATAAAACAGCTGGTGAATGGACGCGGCGACGAGAAGATGCACAGCGTGCTGACCTGTCCTATGAGCCAAAATAGAGTCTAGTCCATGAAAGCTGGATTTTCAGGCGTCGGACGTGGAACCGAATCTGCCGCGCTCCACGAGGTGGACAGGGCCCGACTAGTCCCAGCAGCTGACGCGGTATCACAGTGTTCACTGGACGGTTGGCCTCGCTAAGTCGTCATGTACATTGCATCGCCCCCCCCCCCCCCCCTTCCCCTCTGTCAGGGCGAGTGTTGATAGCGCCATGGAGGTAAGGTTCAGCAGCGTGTGCAGGCTGGGTGAAACAAGCAGGCGTCACAGCTTTCACTGCTGGAGACCGTTACGTGCCGTCCTTGCCATGTTCTTCGTGTGCTTTCTCGCTTATCCAAAAACATCGTGCAAATGTACATTTCAATGGCACGGCCTTTCTCAGTCAGTAGGCATCGGGCATCAAGAAGGGTACGTGTTGTTCAAGAGCTAGCATGGCTAAGTTGGCACCGGCATTGATGCCGGTTCTCAATGTGTGTTTCAATGTCGCCCCGCTTTTTTGGTCTGCGCGTTCCGAACTTTCCCGATACCATACGTTTGGTAAATATATTTCATTGTTCCTCCATGGGACCAACGGTTCTATATTGGGTTCTTCTCTGCTTGGATATATTCCTGGAGTGCCCAAAATAAATTTACACGGACATATTTGCACTAGAACCATCGAAATGCTGCGAATGCTGCCTTTATTCACGGTATGGCCGTGAGGGAATGCAGGCGTAACACAGCTGTTTATACATCGTCGCTGTCATGGTGCAAATGCGCAGCGCCAGATGCCACGAACGTTGGCACACCTGCGGGCGCAGATGTGCAGGTGGGACCCGAAGCGTCCCCAAGCCCAAAAACCATCGTCAGATGTGCAGGCGGCGCCCGAAGCGTCCCCTAGCCCACAAACCACCGTCAGATGTGCAGGCAGAGTGAATTATGGACTGCCAGGAATCAGCCGCTGTGGAGCTTCCTCAAAATGTACGAGTAATGTGGCTTCCCGCGATACATTCTACACGGGCGTAATGTAAGAACACGACAGGTGGCTGCGGATAGATGGTCACCGCAGACGTGCGGGCAGGCACGTCCCGAATGCTTGCAACGCGTCACAGGTCGCAGCGGTGCTGTACAGGTGAGGGTTGCCCTTTGACCTTCGCCTGACCCGCCGCAGGCGCCTGGTGATGTCCCTGGTGCCTGGTGATGTCCCTGGTGATGTCCCTGGTGATGTCCCTGGTGCCTGGTGATGTCCCTGGTGATGTCCCTGGTGCCTGGTGATGTCCCTGGTGATGTCCCTGGTCTGTGAATTAATCCAGCCCGAATTCGGTGTCCTCAGGCGTTGTTTTTGGTGTCTCAGGTGCTTTGCCAGATCAGACCATCCTCGCACGTTCGTTGGGTGATGACCCGAGTCTGGTATTGCGATGCTTCAGTCTCACTCAACACTTAAGACTGGGCGTCTCCCGTTCCACAAGCCGCCACATCAGATAATGATTCGTGTATTATTCACATCGGATAATCACAAGATAAACGTGCGTGAATCGCGAAGCAACCCCTACTGGCCAATCGGGAATAAGCGGTGGGGAAGCGACGAATCACTGAACTTAACGAAGACCTCCTGACCAACCAGGAGCCATTCATGATTACGGAAGTCGATGTAGGGCGCTGCAAACCTCACCACCATTAAAAGTAAGGCGGTACACGTAGCGACACCGCAACGAGAGTTCATCAACGGTGATGATAAAATAAACCACGTGCTCGATGCTGTGGAACTCCGGCACACCAACGATAGCTGGCCGTTGCCGGTGATAACCCGGAGACGACCGGTGGCAAGAGACGCCTGTTCAAGCATGGCCGCTGCCACAGGGCGTCAAGTGGCAACCAATGAAGACGGCCGCGAAGGCCAGCCATCCGCTACCGCACAGGAAGCAAACGAGATCAGGATCGCCGTGGGACGCGCCCAGCTCCCACTCCCACCAGCTCCTTAACAGCACATAAGTTTGTGACGGACAACTGAAAGGTCAGTTCGTGGACGATACAATACACACCGCAGCGAACTGGCGTGCGTGTCGAGGGACTGAGTGACCGACAAACCCGAGCGCACGCTACACCACCTATACATATGTTGCATGCACTACGCACGGAACGCGAGTGCATGCAACACCGCTGGGTGGTGCACCCATCGCCCATTTCTCCATGCGCTGTCCGGTGTTCCCCCAGCGCTCAACAGCCGGCGGCGCATACATCTGTGTGGTGCATGCACTGGTGGCACGCTCACGAAGTTCGTCAGAGCGGGGGTGAGCCGAGACATGCCCGACGAAAATGCATCACGTGACTAGGAGTGCGCGAGGACGAATTCCTTGAGTTCGCCAGATTAAAATGGGATACTGTGTGCCGATGCTGCAGTACACTCAACTATATGCATGCTTACTTCGACCCGCGTGATGTCCGCCAAGCTTGGAGGCGGAAGCAATTACGAGCACACCACGCAGAACTGAATAGAACCAACGCATAGCGCCCACACGGCCGCCCTCCCCAAACCGCGGCTGGAGTTTCGTCTCAGAATGTAAGAGCATATCGACAACTCCAACCATACTGGCCATTATTGCTCCTCGATTCCACCGCCGCCCCTAATTTCCGGGCGAGGGCCGACAGCTGACTAGCGCTGTTTTCAACCCCCGACTACGCCAGTGCTGGCCCCAAACAGACTGCAGCGCCCGCTGAAGAACCAGCACACAGCATCCTGGCTTCAAACAGTTCCTGTCCCACGCTGGTCCCCCCCCCCCCGCCCCCCCCCCCCCACCGGGCGCTCGGCTCCTCACGCGATCCATGGTGCCGGCCGGGCTATCTCCGCACCAACACCACGCGTCACTCCGACGCCGTCCGCCTCACACTCGGAGTTTGCTAGGCCGGACTGGTGAAGGTGGTGGGCACGCGGGCCCCGGTGCACACTCTCCAATGTTGACGCGGGTCATCGCCAAAGACCTCACACGTGACTCCAGTCTCGACCCGAGGTCTCAGGCGTGACATCTGCGGCGGCTTGTCGTCAGCACGAGAAAAAGGCGAGGTGTCTGCGGCGGCCCGCCGTGGGTAGCTGACGTCTCTGATGTGGCGTCTACCGGGGCTGCTCGTGGGTACGTGAGGGCTTGTAAATGGTGTCTACTGTGCCTCCTTATGGGCGCGTGAGTAGGCCCTCATAGGCGGCCATCTCCTTCTTCTCCTTCTTCATGTTGCGCACCATGAACTCCATCCTGCAATCGAAGTGGCGATGAGCCCAGCGACTTCAGTTTGGGAGGCTACGCACGTTTCTGTGGCAAAAATGAGGTAACTTATTCCCCGCGAGTTGCTTCCCAGAACTTCAATACGTTTAACAAGCACGGCTAATGTCTGATATTGGCAAATCAAGGGGTAACACTTCCAATGCCTCAACACATAAAAAACCAACTATTAAATCAAGATTTTCCAGGAGACTAACTTTGCCATTCCGCCCATAAAACCCGTATGAAACGGATAACAAAAATCCGTTGGGGTAGAATATATATATATATATATATATATATATATATATATATATATATATATATATATATATATATATGATACGTGTTATTCGGCGTATTTCCGTGTCTATACTCCTACAAAAAGACATGAAACCTCCAGTTTACCCTATGGAGGAGGACGTGTGATACGTTCCATTCATCGCAAATCTTCCAGAAGTGCAAGAACAGTCAAGGATATCACAAAACCGAATATGACGGCAGGATCCCACAAGCGTCAAAAGAAACACACGTCTCAAATACGCTCGTCCTCGTAACCGTAACTCGCCCTCGTCCTCGTAACCAAAAGACATCTTTTGAACGTCGCCCCGGGAATCGAATTGACGCAAACATAAGAGCCGCTTCGGGATGAGCTGCGAACGTGAGTGTCATCTGGTTAAGTGTTGTCTGCTTTTGACAGATCGGAGTTCTTTCGGCGGAGATGACAGTGTTTTACATCATCTGCCTTCGTGCACGGTTCCAATATTTCAAAAGTCAGTGAATGTGCGATGCTTGAGGTAAAAATTAGCTGACGAAAGGCTTAGTTTCAGAAGGAAAAAACTTTGAATTATGAATAAGATACTGACAGCTCACGACGTTCCTTCCAGCTAGTATTCACCTCTCATCACGCCAACGATTACACGAATACGAATTACATTACATTACACGCATACGAATTACAACATACGAATTCTAATTGGTTACATACCCATCTAAATTAATTTTAAAAAAGAACGAAAAAAATTACACCCAAACTCTATGGACATTCAGTAAAATGTCTGGCCTTCCCACTGATGAGCAGCCAACACACCCCACACTTCCCAAGCAGAGTTGGGTGGGTGGTGGGTGGTGGTGGGGGGGAGGGGGGGCTAATACGGGCTGTCAGTCTGAGCCCTCACTCGGTGACGGCGGCGGCACGGTGTCGCCTGCGGGCCGCTGTAGCGAGTACAGGCCGCCGACGCCAGGGACGGTGTGGTGGGAGGCCCCAGAGACGACAGGACCCGGCGGCCCGAGGACACGATCAACAAACAGTGACGACGGGGGCATCCAACACCAGACACGGTCAGTTTCAGGACCGGCGCACGACTGTCATGATCTTACCGCAGCACATCAGCACAGCACTACATGTCCGTGCACCACCAAAATGCAAGAGCAAAACGCACCCCGTCATGGCCCAAACATAGCGAGAATCACGACAGCACGAAGAATCACATTCCAACGCTGACATTGGGAACATGATAACATGTGCCGCATCGCAACAACACACAATGCAACACATCACAACACAAACACATCACGGTGCCATGTCGTCAGCACCATCCACGCATCATGGCCCCAACATGGTGCGCCACATGAGCACGCTACCACAGTTTGCCGCGCACGCCAGCAGCACGGCTCGCCCCAATGTTGTGTGCGCAGGATGGTCGGACTCAGCCCGTACCTGTGGCGCAGAGTGTGCAGACTCAGCCCGTACCTGTGGCGCAGAGTGATCAGACTCAGCCCGTACCTGTGGACCAGAGTGGTCAGACTCAGCCCGTACCTGTGATACAGTGGTCAGACACAGCCCGTACCTGTGGCACAGTGGTCAGACACAGCCCGTACCTGTGGCGCAGAGTGATCAGACTCAGCCCGCACCTGTGGACCAGAGTGGTCAGACTCAGCCCATACCTGTAATACAGTGGTCAGACACAGCCCGTACCTGTGGCACAGAGTGGTCAGACACAGCCCGTACCTGTGGACCAGAGTGGTCAGACTCAACCCGTACCCGTGGACCAGAGTGGTCAGACTCAGCCCGTACCTGTGGACCAGAGTGGTCAGACTCAGCCCATACCTGTGATACAGAGAGGCCAGACACAGCCCGTACCTGTGGACCAGAGTGGTCAGACTCAGCCCGTACCTGTGGACCAGAGTGGTCAGACTCAGCCCATACCTGTGATACAGAGAGGCCAGACACAGCCCGTACCTGTGGCGCAGAGTGGTCAGACTCAGCCCGTACCTGTGCTCGATGATGCGCTCTACGATCTTCTGCGTCGTCATGTCGTTGCCCGACTCGATCTGCTTGAATTTGGAGCGGCGCTTCGGCTCAGCATACGGGTCAGAGCCATCTGTCGGGTCAGGGCAGGGCAGGTCAGGTCAGGTAAGGCCAAGTCAGGTTGGGGCAGGTCAGGTCAGCTGTTACTGGCTGCGTCACGGCACCTGGTGACTGGTGTCCAGAACTGCGGCGATGGTGATTTACAGAGTGCAGAGGCACCTCCACAGAAAATTCGAGGTGCAGAACAAGTTTCTATCTTTTTTGCATCTGGACTGTGCTGAACAGTCATGCGATGTGCGGAAATTAGCGATCCTTACATATTGCTGTCATATCTAAGCATCTACTAAACAGTGCTGGACACATTAATCAGCAATGCCTACAAAGCCCCTCAATCTCGCTGGGTGCAGCGTCCCCAGCTAGATAAACAGGCCATTTCAAATGCAAGTTGTTGGCAACCTAAGCCGCCTCATACCTAACGCAGGCATGCAGAATAGTTTCACACATTAACAATTATCTATGGCATAGCACCAGTCCTTGAATCATCACAACGTCAGCTGCACCAAGTGCAGCTTAACCTGAGGGTACCAAATCGATCTGCCCCCCCCCCCCCCCCCTTCCAGCCGTTCGTTACCCCCGACATCAGGTACAGCTCACACTGAGGGCGCCAAACCGACCTGCCCCCCCCCCCCCCCCAGCCGTTCGCCACCCCTCCTTCCCCAGCTGGCCGTCGCCGCTCCGCCCGGACCGGAGCACTCACCGACGTCGTCGGAGATGGGCGTGGTGCCGTGACACACCACGTCCACGCGGAAGTGGTCCATGAGGTCGGGCGTGACCGGGTATGGCGCGCCGATCACCACCTCGTCCACGTACCGACACGCCAGTACGCTCAGCGTGCGCTCGTGAAGGTTCATGATCGGGTAGTTGTAGCCCTTGTAGCTGGCGGCGGCGGAGGGCGGCGGTTAGACGCTGCGGTGGGTTCGATTCTCGGCGCGGGAAACTTTTGCCGGCTCCGATTGCCAGCACGAGTGACGATGCTCATGATTTCGGCAGCTGCATGCATCGGGAAACAGTTCCATGATGATCGCAATTGCTAGCGAGCGAAATAGAACTGCAACTCAGTTTGACCACCAGGGGCGGCACGGCCGCCGCAGTGGGGACCAGAGGCGGAGCGGCCGCCGCAGTGAGGACCAGAGGCGGAGCGGCCGCCGCAGTGAGGACCAGAGGTGGAGCGGCCGCCGCAGTGAGGGCCAGAGGCAGAGCGGCCGCCGCAGTGAGGACCAGAGGCAGAGCGACCGCCGCAGTGAGGACCAGAGGCGGAGCGGCCGCCGCAGTGAGGACCAGAGGCGGAGCGGCCGCCGCAGTGAGGACCAGAGGCGGAACGGCCGCCGCAGTGGGGCAGCCAGGGGGGTGAGGGCAACACACGACCCGCCATCATCCACGACCCGCGGACCAGTCACCGGCATGTCAGCTGTATGATAGGACACCTCTGGGGCTACGGCTTGGAAGGCATACGCAGAGCGGTTGATTCCGAGACACAAACTGCGTTACTTGCATGGCCACGTGATGCGTATGTAACGCTCCAGCATGTAACACTCCAGTGAGGTCCAGAATCAGCTTTATGTTATAGCACTTGCAAATAAGCTCATTGTAGACACGTTGTCTAATATCTATCCCAAGTCACCTCTTGTATAGGGCTACGGTACATATACAGCTGTTATTGGTTGTCAATAAACTGAACGAAACATAACCTGACTGCCTTGAAGAGAACGCGAACAACCTATTCGCCCCCAAATTAACTTGCTGGTACAGCACGTTTCCTGCGTAATACGACAAATGATACATCACGAAACATAAAAATACGCTCAAAAGACATAATCGTGGGAATAACAACGTCACATATGGCGTCACCAAAGCCCCGCGCTTTGAAATTCTCCACTCAGATATCAAGAACCTGAAGCATAATATGCTGTCAGGGCGGCCACCGACCGGTTGACTATTGGGTCCGTGTGAAGTCCGACGATGAGGAAGTCGCCCTGCGCCGCAGCCTTCTCCAGGAAATCCAGGTGACCCACGTGGAACAGGTCGAACGCCCCGGCCACGTACACCACCCGGTCGCCCGGCTGTCGGCCAGAGGTCACGGCTGCACGTCAGAGGAGTAGCCAGAGACCACGGCCACACGTCAGCGGCGTGGCCAGAGGTCACGATAACACGTCAGAGGGGTGGCCAGGGGTCACGACCACACGTCAGAGGGGGTGACCAGGGGTCACGACCACACGTCAGAGGGGTGGCCAGGGGTCACGACCACACGTCACGTCAGAGGGGTGGCCAGGGGTCACGGCCACACGTCAGAGGGGTGGACAGAGGTCATGACCACACGTCAGAGGGGTGGCCAGGGGTCACGACCACACGTCAGAGGGGTGGACAGAGGTCACGACCACACGTCAGAGGGGTGGCCAGGGGTCACGACCACACGTCACGTCAGAGGGGTGGCCAGGGGTCACGGCCACACGTCAGAGGGTGGCCAGGGGTCACGACCACACGTCAGGTCAGAGGGGTGGCCAGGGGTCACGGCCACACGTCAGAGGGGTGGACAGAGGTCATGACCACACGTCAGAGGCGTGGATAAAGGTCACGGCCACATGTCAGAGGCGTGGCCACGGGCCACGGCGCCACACGTCAGAATCGAGGACAGAGGTCGCGGCCATACGTCAGAGGCGTAGCCACAGGTCACGGCCATACGTCAGAGGCGTAGCCACAGGTCACGGCGCCACAGGTCAGAGTTGTGGCTAGAGGTCACGGCCACAGGTCGACTCACACGTCAAAGTCGTGGACAGAGGTCACGGCCACACGTCAGAGGGGGGGGGGCAGGGGTCACGACCACACATCAGAGGGGTGACCCGTGCCGTACAACTGGTCGCCTGCTACCCGCTTTCACAGTACCCGTACTGGGGTACAGTTCAAAAGTACACACCACAGCACCGTAGCACGTGTAAGTACCCGTGTTTGTGGTCGGAAGCGGTCCCAATGACCCTCATCCCGACTGAGGTGTCTCGACCCCTGGGACTCACAGGTACCGGCTGTCGCGTTCGCCAGGCGCTATCGGTGAACGTTAACGACAACGCTTGAGCGGTCAATGCACGGGTGATTTCCAAAGCACGTGTATCGTAATTTGGGAAGCCCTGCATGACATCCAAATCCCTGCATGACAAACCAAGGCCAAAACATCAAAGTCTGCCCGGTGTGTCTGAGCGCAGGACGAGCAACCAGTGAGACGCCGCACACGTGCTATCAGACGCCACAGTCAGCGCCGACCTCTGACCAGCCCCCACGGCGTCTCACCAGCGGGTCTGTATCCCGCGCCTCGTCGGAGCGGACACCTACCTTGGGCACCTTGCCGGAGGAAAACTGAATCAGCTGCTGGGTGGTGGGCAAGAACTGAGTCACGCCCGTCCAGGGACTGTGGGCCGTGGCGCCCTGCTCCAGCGACGCTTCCGGCGGCAGGTCCACCGAGTACTCGTCCTTACCCGTCTGGGGGCAGGGGTCAGGTCAGGTCAGGTCCACCGGGTACTCGTCCTTACCGGTCTGGGGGCAGGGGTCAGGTCAGGTCTGGTCCACCCAATACTCGTCCTTACCGGTCTGGGGGCAGGGGTCAGGTCAGGTCAGGTCCACCGAGTACTCGTCCTTACCGGTCTGGGGGAAAGGGTCGGGTCAGTTCAGGTCCACCCAACACTCGTCCTTACCGGTCTGGGGGCAGGGGTCAGGTCAGGTCAGGTCCACAGGGTACTCGTCCTTACCGGTCTGGGGGAAAGGGTCGGGTCAGTTCAGGTCCACCCAATACTCGTCCTTACCGGTCTGGGGGCAGGGGTCAGGTCAGGTCAGGTCCACCGAGTACTCGTCCTTACCGGTCTGGGGGCAAGGGTCAGGTCAGGTCTGGTCCACAGGGTACTCGTCCTTACCGGTCTGGGGGCAGGGGTCAGGTCAGGTCTGGTCCACAGGGTACTCGTCCTTACCGGTCTGGGGGCAGAGGTCAGGTCAGGTCTGGTCCACCGAGTACTCGTCCCTACCGGTCTCGGTCTGGGGGCAGGGGTCAGGTCAAGTCTGGTCCACCGAGTACTCGTCCTTACCCATTTGGGGGCAGGGGTCACGTCAGGTCAAGTCCACAGGTTACCCGTTCTTACAGGTCTGATAGCAAGAACAGGCATCGTGCCCAGAGTCCCCCCTCACTCGGGGCTAAGCAATCGACAAATGTTTGTCGAGGGCTCTCATTGCCCTAGCCATTTGTTCTGGCTATTTACGGGTTCGATATCATTCGAGACAGATGAGGATGGAGGCCCCAAGCTGCCTCCCATGGGCTAGCGCAGCTCTCGCGCAGACAATCCGCTTCGCCTACACATGAGGTGCAAGGAGCCGTTCGTCAGGCATGTCCGGATGGATGCGCCGGCGATAGCCCCAGTCATCTCTGACGGAGCCAGCGCTGACCGCCGAGGTCGGTATGCCGGACTGGGACCACAGACGTCGGTATGCCGGACTGGGACCGCGGAGGTCGGTATGCCGGACTGGGACCGCAGACGTCGGTATGCTGGACTGGGACCGCAGACGTCGGTGTGCCGGACTGGGACCGCAGACGTCGGTGTGCCGGACTGGGACTGCAGACGTCGGTATGCTGGACTGGGACCGCAGACGTCGGTATGCTGGACTGGGACCGCAGACGTCGGTATGCTGGACTGGGACCGTGGAGGTCGGTATGCTGGACTGGGACCGCAGACGTCGGTATGCTGGACTGGACCGCAGACGTCGGTATGCTGGACTGGGACCGCAGACGTCGGTATGCTGGACTGGGACCGCAGACGTCGGTATGCCGGACTGGGACAGCAGACGTCGGTATGCGGGACTGGGACCCGCAGACGTCGGTATGCTGGACTGGGACCGCAGACGTCGGTATGCTGGACTGGGACCGCAGACGTCGGTATGCTGGACTGGGACCGCAGACGTCGGTATGCTGGACTGGGACCGAAGAGGTCGGTATGGCGGACTGGGACCGCAGAGGTCGGTATGCCGGACTGGGACCGCAGAGGTCGGTATGCCGGACTGGGACCGAAGAGGTCGGTATGGCGGACTGGGACCGAAGAGGTCGGTATGCCGGACTGGGACCGAAGAGGTCGGTATGCCGGACTGAGACCGCAGAGGTCAGTGTGCCGGACTAGGACAGCTGACGCGCGGGGTGGTCACGCAGGCTGAATGCTCCAAGCACCAGCACATACCCGCAGTTTCGGAGCCTGTAGCCCCAGCACACAGCGCCGCTCACGAGCCTGCTTTCTAGCCACAACAGCAACGACGTACAGCACGTGCAATAGCGTACGTTCTGATCACCACACCTCGACCAAAGTCCGTCCGTCCAAGTGGGTGCGATGCAGCGCGGCGCGCCGCCCCGGACTTTGAGCACGGGCCTGTCCGCCAGCACCGTCCTCGACCGTATCTCATCTGATCACGCCCAAATGGCCCACTCAACACGCTGTCTCGACACCGAAGTGCAACGGCGTGAGGTCACTCAAGATTCAGTATCCATTAGCGTACAGTGATGCCGCTGTGTGGAATCAGTGGACACCTTGTCACCGGTACTGGAAGTTGTCACATGTTGTCAGTGTTGTCAATGTCGCAGGGCGGACGGACGGGGCTGCGCAGTGACAATGACAACAGCGCTCATCGAGTTCATATGTGTCATCCGAATACGGCAAAAAAATAAATGGGCTTAACACTTCGTCGGCTCATCGATCACTAGTGCAGAACAGCCAATCTCCAATTCTCCGATGGTATTTTGCCTCTCTATACCGGAGATGGCCACAGGCCTATGCAAACGCTCTGGTCGACCAGCGCGACTCCGAACTGACCTTGAAGTGGCTGCGAGTCATGAGCAGCATGCGTCCCACCAGATCCGTGGTAGACACGCCTCTGGTCCGCAGACACTCCCTGTGGGGTAAAGACGGCGTCACGCGGGGGTCAGACACACCTTTGGTCCGCAGACACTCCCTGTGGGGTAAAGACGGCGTCACGCGGGGGTCAGACACACCTCTGGTCCGCAGACACTCCCTGTGGGGTAAAGACGGCGTCACGCGGGGGTCAGACACACCTTTGGTTCGCAGACACTCCCTGTGGGGTAAGGACGGCGTCACGCGGGGGTCAGACATATCTCTGGTTCGCAGACGCTTTTTCTGTGGGGTAAAGACGGAGTCACGCGGGGGTCAGACACACCTTTGGTCCGCAGACACTCCCTGTGGGGTAAGGACGGCGTCACGCGGGGGTCAGACATATCTCTGGTTCGCAGACGCTTTTTCTGTGGGGTAAAGACGGAGTCACGCGGGGGTCAGACACACCTTTGGTCCGCAGACACTCCCTGTGGGGTAAGGACGGCGTCACGCGGGGGTCAGACATATCTCTGGTTCGCAGACGCTTTTTCTGTGGGGTAAAGACGGCGTCACGCGGGGGTTAGACACACCTTTGGTCCGCAGACACTCCCTGTGGGGTAAAGACGGCGTCACGCGGGGGTCAGACACACCTCTGGTCCGCAGACACTCCCTGTGGGGTAAAGACGGCGTCACGCGGGGGTCAGACACACCTTTGATCCGCAGACACTCCCTGTGGGGCAGAGAAGATGGCGCCATACGGGGTGAGACATATCTCTGGTTCGCAGACACTTTTTCTGTGGGACGTCTCACGGGAGGGAAGGAGAGGGGCGGCAGATCACACACGACTTGCTTAGTCGCTCGGTATCCGCCGCCCAACCCCCCTAACTGATGCCGTCTGCAGGGCACACACCCCGCAGCGAGGACCTGTCTCTCAATGCCACGGCCCCACGGACCACGCGTACAAAGTCCGCCGCCAGCCGACCCGGCCGGCGCGTCTGGGCCGCCCGGGCCGCGCGGTGGCCGGCCTCCGTATCTGCCGGGCCAGCGGCACACCCCACCACCGCGCCGCTAGGCACCGACGAGAAACGTGACGGGATGGAGGCTCGAACCCAGCTTCGGCCCAGGTTCGCCTTTCATTGTGTTCCCTGAACAAAACGTCCAAATTTCTACGCACGGTGATACCTGTCCTCCGCGTTTCCCTCAGTTCCCTCGGCTTGAACACCCAGGCCATGACTTCGCTGCTGGACTGGACTGCCAGCAGCTGACTGCATGACATCTGTGTTTTTACATGCTGGGAGACACGTCACTGCTGTTGCTGTTGACTTCAGCGGTGATACGTGACGGGCGGAGCTCCACATCAGCACCCCGAGTCTGGCTCCACATGAGCACCCCGAGTTTGGCTCCACACCAGCACCCCAGAGCCTGGTTCCCCATCAGTATCGCAGAGCCTGGCTCCACATCAGCACCCCAGAGCCTGGCTCCACATCAGCGCCCCAGAGCCCAGCTCCACGTCAGCACCCCAGAGTCTGGCTCCACATCAGCACCCCAGAGTCTGGCTCCACATCAGCACCCCAGAGTCTGGCTCCACATCAGCACCCCAGAACCCAGCTCCAAATCAGCACCCCCGAGTCTGACGCTACATCAGCACCCCAGAGCCCGGACAAGAGGGTCAGTGCGTCAAAACGGATGGCAATCTGCATTCTAGTGTGATGCTTGAATGAGGCCGCTCCAAATGCCGATCAATTTTAACATCCCATGGCTGGCACCTGGCAACAAGGCTCCCAGATCCTTCTCCCAGCTTAAAGCTGAAAGCTATGCACAAATCAAGATGCTAAGTTCTGTGCACAGGCTCAACGCACGCACGCACGCACGCACGCACGCACACATACACACATACACACACTCGCCCTGCAAGGACGGCTGGAGAGAAAAAGGAGGCCAAGAATACACTTACACACCAACGCAAGGCACAACGTGGCCAGGTTTGCACTTTACAGCATTCGGGGCCTGATCTGTCACGTCCCTTCTGTCTCGGTGCTCAGCTCACTTGTATCGGTTGGCGGCCTTGACGATGTGGTACGTGTCCACGCCCTCAGCAGTCATTGTAATGTCATCTGGGAAGGAGGCACAGGCTCAATAGCGCTGAAATTGCCGAACACAGCTCTTTTGGCCTATGGCCTATGAGCAACATCTTTGGAATCTCGCCACTGCACATCCATCATTAAATGGTCGCCCATATGCACAATAAGCAGGTGCATCAATGCATGTGTCAGCCTTGACAATGGATCTGACAGGGTAGTTTGGACACCTGAAGGGCCCATAATGCATGTCAGGGAAAGCTGTGCACCCTTTTCATACCAGTAAGTAGTAACAACTGGTAGTTCGCAACAGCGCACATACAGTTCCCAGCAGACAAGGTACATCCACGCAGACAGAGCTCACAACAGACCCCTGTGCCCCTGCATGCCCAGTTCACAGCTGGCAATGAGTCCTGCCTACCTCCATGCACGCAGAAGTCGCACTCGTACTTGTCGAGTGTCTCCAGCGTGGTGACGTACGGAGCCGCCTCCACCACCTCATCCACCCACTTGATGGCACGCACCATCTTGTACCTGATGGCCGTGAATCACAACATCAGGTCAGTAGGGTCGGTCACTGCTGGCCAGGCGTTGCGGGGGGAGGGTGAAAGGTCGACACCGAGACACTAGTCAGCAGACTGTGGTATCTGGTGTAAGGACACATGGAGGCAGCTGGAGGGGTTTTGGTAGCGCTGTGATTAAGATATGCTTCTCAGGCATGACAGGTACAGGGTTTGATTTACTGTGGTGCCTGCCATTCCTGTCAGGGTCAGAGGAAGGTGATGCCACATAGCCCCATCAGCTGGTTGAGTTGTAAGGCCATCAAGGCACACAGAGACAATGCACCAGGTGGGCTTGATCTCCCACAGTGGCAAGCTAACATGGGTGACAGGGACAGGGGCAGCATTATGGGCACACACCAGCTTTCCGGAGGCTGAAAACTGGAAAACTGCAGCAACCAGCATCTTCACATGGCATCTTCCTGACATGGCATGGACTGACCTCTCCTGTTCTGTGAAGACAGGTGGCCCCTTGTGCTCAGTGACTTCTGCATCACTGTGCACTCCAACCATCAGGTAGTTACCCATGGCCTTGGCCTGACGCAGTGAATTGGCATGCCCAAAGTGTACCATGTCATAGCTGAAACAGTGGTGCTGGTTAGTGGATAGGAATCCTTATGAGCTCCTTGTGGTGTAGGAACATTAACAGCTTATCCATTTTTGCTCAGCAATATGCCAAAACTGCCATGTTTTGGAGTCATTTGACATAACAGAGTGTCCTAAAAAAGTCGAATATACATAATTGAGCAGCAACAAGTGAATGATTAAATCTATAATTACTACACAGGAGAAGAGATAGCTTTAGATGACATGTCATAAAAGGCTCATATATCCTGGTGATGTGTTCATAAAAATAAAACAATTGCATGTTTCACATAACATTAATCATGTATCCATAACTTGTTTAGATGTTACACAAATCCAAACTCACCAGCCATCACACCAGACACGAACTTGCTTTTTATCACCTCCCATTTTGTCTCCTGAGGCCATTTCACTCATCCTGCAATCTGAAAATCATCACAGAAAATAGACAAAACTGAACTGTGATCACATCTCATTTAAATTTAGTTTCTTCAAACAGCAACCAGGCAACACTGGATGCTTGGAAACATCAAAGGCTTCTACACCAACAGCTGTTTTGCATGCCAGACATGCAGTGGTGAAACTAAGCTTTTTTAAAAAATGCCCACAGTTTTTTCCTAGCAAATAGACAGTGGGCCTATTCAGCTTTAAGGCTCAGTCACCAGTAAGGCTCTCAAAGAAAGTCAGTGACAATAGCATGTTATAAGAAGGGGTAAGACCATATCTCAGAAATATGTTTCAGAAAGATACATGCTAGAAACTATGAAAAATAGTTTGCCCCTAAAATCTTGATGTATATTATACCCAATCACAATGCCAGAGAATAAATCAAAGTTGAGAGCAACAATCTATTGCTTGCACCCTCAATAATAAGCTGACATCATAGGTGCACAATGCATCCATGCACAGTTACTAATATGATGGCTAATAGGATATTAGGTTTATCATGTCTATACCCACTGGAAAGAAATGGAAAATGAAAGAAATGGTCTTGGCTTTCTAAAAACTATACTCAAAAGAACTGGAAAAGCCTACTGGTCTGCCCAGCTGGATTACATATTCTGGCACTCTAAAACTTCATCACCACTTTATTGATTTTTCTCCAAAACAAATCAGGCCTCACATTTCTGAATTTTTGAAAAACATTTTGGTGCATACAAAGTTAACTGAAACCCAATGTACTTCCAGTGGTCAGTATTTTTATGGGGGATGGGGACGGGCAGAACTCAGCAAAAAATCATCATTAGAATACTGTGACAATTGCAATTTAAACTGGTTTCAATCTATCCACTAAATAGCAATGAATCTCACAAGAATGTGCAATCTAAAGAATACAACAGCATTTAGCCTTGGGTCAGGAGCCATTCGCAGTGCTAACAATCAACACCCACAACTTATAATAATTTGGCAACGCCTGTCACAAAACGATCAGAATGGTACTTCTACATCGCATGACACGCACCGCACACGCACAAACCAGGCCTAAGACCAGCTGGACGCGCACTTCCACCAGGAAACCTTACCGCCCCAGCGCGCAAACCCACCTACAGCAGTGCGGACTAGATACGTAGGAACGCGTGGCGCGCAACCCTCCGCTGACCCGCACCGGTCGCTCAAATGATCAGTTGATCTGGTGTACTCATCGCAGAGAGACATACCGTATGCTTTTCAACTTAATTGTCTTACACGCGCCATCATAGTAAACCCCATTTATCAAGATTTTAAAAAAGTGGTTAGAGGTTTCTGAAATATACAACCCTTAAATGCTCCTTTTATAGCATTAAAACTCATGTGTGTGGTTCTTTATATTTATTTAGTTTCTGTGGAGCCGGCTGAGGGTAATTCTTAACTTCAAATTCAAGAACACACATTGCTTTAGTGAGACCTGCTGAATATGGATATCATATGAAAATGAATGATATGTCGATGCAATTTTTTATTTCATTGTGAAACTTGACTGGAATTTTGTATCCTAAATTTGAAAGCGAATAGAGAATAAGAAGGCAAAATCAGCGTATTTAATATATCTGGCGGTGTGGCGCGGCGCTTCCTTTCCTGCGCTCCCATCGAAATTGGCGAAAGATGGTATGTAAACAGTATCGTTTTGTTACATACCATTGGGATTCGGGCCTTGTGCAGCAAAAAAATAAGTTTGAAGTGTGTTCGTGCTACTTTCTCACACTGACTTTTTCCCCCAGGGCATCGATATTTGTCATAAGCACGAGCGTAAGAGTCGGCGCACTGAGCCCAAGTCTCAGGATGTCTACCTGCGTTTGCTGGTCAAGGTGAGAATAAAATTGAGCTTGTATGAGCTTTCTTGGCCCGTGCTGTAAAATATTTTGCTGACGACCGTCTTACTACATTTTAGGATTGCGGTAAGTGAAGAGTCACGTTCAGGAAATGAACCTCCATGTGGGATCAGGGTGTACTTTCCTACCTAACATTAGAAAAAATCATTGTACACCATTCGTCGTGTTAAAGGCAGGACATATCATAAATAATCACAAAACAGGTAGAATCATGCTCCTACCTTCAAATTTCAATAACTTCGATGGTGGGCTCCCGAGCGCCGCGCGCACCACACCGCCTGGACTCCCCAGCACTGTTTCTGCGTTGCTGTTGCGTAAATACAATATTTCTGCTTACCAAGAACTCTACAAAATGTATGGGACCAAGGTAAACCATTTGTCGTGTTTAAGGCAGGGCATATCGTAAATATTCACAAAACAGGTAGATTCATGATCGTACCTTCAATTTTTTATAATTACAATGGTGAGCTCCCGGGCGCCGCATACACACAGTACCTGCGACACCGGCGCCATTAATGTGCGGGTCACAACATTACTGTGCATCAAGCAGCATCAAGAACCATAAAAATGTAGGGGGCCAACCCACCCGCCATCCACCAATAATAAGGATGCTGGAGCCTAGACATGGGCATGCCAAGCTCCTGTCTGCACTCAAAACAATAAGCCCTCTCCTGATTGGCAGAAAGTCAGAGAGAAGCATAAAACACAGGGAATGTACTGTGTACCACATGATTCAATATTTCTGGATTGTACTCTGAAATTGTGTCATAGTCAAGATTGGTATCAAGATACATGTCATTCTAACATATACTTATAAATGTGATGTAAATTAATGAGATATTGGATGAAAGATGAGTGTTTAATTATCTGTTATTTGGTGTTACTTATTGTATATTTTGATTGAAAGCTGTAAAAATGGGGGTAGTACATAGGGTGTTTCAGTGATGCCAAACATCATCTGAAACACTCCCTTGGGTATGTGGAAATCCAGGGCTTCCCAAATTTTCAGCTCTTGGGGATGATTTAGCATTGGAGGAAAGGCATGGAAGGCAAGGCATAGTGCATACCTCAGGCTGCAGCATAAATTTTGGCCTATTGTGAAAAAAGTCACAATTGTTTTGCTTATCTTGAAGAAAATTTTCTTCAAGAGCTGGTGTGCAAACCCCCTTTATGGGATGAGTTTTGGATCTCATTATGACTGGTGAGAAAAGTGTGATAGATGATGTATGATATATTTAAGGTAAGGTGATGCATTTGAGTAGTTTCAGCATAGATGACATCTATCAAATGCGAGGTTGGGATTTAGACCAGATTGGGGAAGAAAAGGACTGTGTGGTTATCATTTCCAGAAATTGAGAGGGATTGTTTTACATTTGGAGACAAGCATGAGATTTAATGAAACAAGCTCACTTATAGCTGTGGGTATACTTTTAAAGCGAATGTGTCACGGTTAGATTGCATCAATGTACCATGTGCAACACTGATTGAGAGCCAGTTGACAGCACTCAATCAATGGTCAATTTCAAAATCAATGGCCAATCAAATCAATTTGGGCTCTTTGAGACTTGGAGATGGTGCACAGTGGAGCAGCCGTGTTGGAGATTGGAGGGGGAGGTGGTGGACAAATAGGAATTGGAGCAGAGTGAACAGAGAATTTAAAGAGGTCTAAGAGGAATGAGTACTTGCTCATGGTAATATGCCAATTTGCAGTCTGTAAACAGTGTCTGGTGTCTTAAAAGCTTTAAATTATTATGCACCATACCGCAGTAGCCAGCTTGCAGTGAACAGTGTCTTGTGGGACATCACAGACTGGGTTTGTGCCATGGCACCCATGGAATGGTGCTGTTGTTTTCTCTAGACATTTGACATGGACTGAAGAAAGACACAGTTGTTCTTTGATGCTGGCTATGCAATTTTCAAACATCATTTACTGATGGTTTGTGTACCTAGCAAGGCTACAGTGTCTAATGTTTTGTTGTCCCCATTTCTGTGACTGCCTCCTTGCTGTGTCATGTTAGTGCATTTGGCAGTGAATGATGATTCCCCACTCCCGAGCTGCTGCTTTTCTCCTTTCTGTGGTTCATGTCTGGAATTGCATTGACAGCGCTCTTCTGTTTGCAAAATCAGTCATGGCCAGCTGCATATTTTTTTCTTTGCAGCATACATTGTCAGAATTTGCCTTTTGTGTGCACAATATGTGTGAAGTTCTGGGGTAGAAGTTTGGATTTGGGATTAATGTTGGCAAAATGTTTTGGGGTAAATGCTTGGACCCTTGCCTGCCTTCCCATCCATGAAGGCACTGCCTGTCACTGAGCCTGTCGCCGGCAGCTGTACCGGTTCTTGGCGCGCCGCACCGGCTCCAAGTTCAACCGGATCATCCTGCGCCGCCTGTTCATGAGCAAGCTGCACCGGCCGCCCATGTCGCTGGCGCGCATCATCCGGTTCATGAACCAGCCGGAGCGCAAGGACCGCATCGTCGTCGTGGTCGGCACCGTGACCAACGACGTGCGCATCTTCAAGATCCCCAAGATGACTGTGAGTGGAAGGGCGCTGCGCCAGCATGGGGTGGGAAAGGGGTAGGTGGGACCCTTGCCTGAGGTGAAGACAGGGGCAAGTGTGCGTTGTACAGGTGGGTCAGGCTCTCCATGGGTGTTTTTCCTTTCTTTTAGAACATGTTGAGGTTAAAGCGAGGGTGCTGTGCAACGAGTGAGATATGTGGCATGCCAATATTTACCGCGTTTTCTGGTTTTCAGTATCACAGACATTGAGCATTGTGATTCCATCTCCCGTGGCTTGTTTGTTGAGTTACCTGTCTCCTTTGATCCATATGCTGAAATGTCCGTCGCCTGTGATCTTTATGTCGCAATGCTGTCTCCTATGACCTTTTGGGTAGCGTTTCGCTGCCGCGTCATGCCGTTGACCGGTGTGGTACGATCGCTGACGGCCGGCCTGTGCTCGCTGCCACCAGATCTGCGCACTGCGCGTGACTGAGCAGGCGCGCGCGCGCATTCTGAAGGCCGGCGGCGAGATCATCACGTTCGACCAGCTGGCGCTGCGTGCGCCCACCGGCAAGAACACGGTGCTGATGCAGGTACGGCTGGCGGCGGGCCCCGGCGGCGGCCGGGTCGGCGGTGACGGGCCAGTCGCTGACGTCGTTGGCGTCGCCGCCCACGGCGGGAGCTGGCGCTGGCGAACGTCATCGTGTTTGTTTGGAACGAGCCCGGCTCACTTAGTGAGCTCGCGGCCACGCAGCCACCTTGGTCGGCGCAGGGTCCGGCTGGGGCAATGGCGCGGTGGTGGTGTGGCCTGCCTCGCGGCGGATCGTTTGTCTTCCGCCATGCCGCGTTGGGTTCGCTGGAGCTGGGGAGCTGTATCCGCTGATATAGGATAGACATGTCACGATCCAGCGCGATCCTTGCAGCTGAAGCCCAACTGTCCGCCATGTAGTTTAGCCATGTCCGAGCGCGAATTGCCGTAATGCATCTGAGTTGGGTATTGCGGAGGACGGCCGTAAATTGAAAGGGGGGGGGGGGGTGCTCTGGTTTACTATGCTCTCTTTCTGTAACTGTTAGTTACAGAAAGAAGGGCAGGTTCTTACAAGTTAAGTTTTATCATGAGGGGCAAGTCCTCTGGTGTTGTTGCTTGAAACATCAGAACTTCAGTTTCTTCATTCACGCATGGTCTCACCCATGGAATTATGAATTTCCAAACCAACAGCTGCTGTAACTGCTGCTGTTCCCAACATCTGCTACGCTCCAGATTAGAAAACTCGTTCCCACTGTGGGCGGACACTGGCCAGTTTGTTTTGGTTCCACAGGATGCATATTTTGGAACAAATGGTTATCGTTAGGTTGCGTGTCATCCTTTGTTCTTGGGAGTGTTTTTTCTGGTGGGGTCGACGACGATGTGCGTAGCGTCGTTAAGCAAACTTTAAAGGATAAGTAATGTTTTGGTTGAAATATCTCTGCTTCTGAGAGAAGTTTGGCTAGGGTTGTTTCCTCCTGGAAGGGATAATTGTGCACCCAATCGTTCTTAAAAGGCGGTGGTGCATCTGAACAAGGTCTCTGTTCCGATTGTGTTACTTGATCTCACGGGGTGCCGTGACCTTCAGCTGTGTCTCCGAGCGTCATGTGTGGTTCGTCACAGACCCACCTTGGCACAATATTGGTCCACGCGTGAATTGTGACCTAATTCACGGCCATATGTCCCTGTTCCTTTTCGGAAGAAACCCACGCACGGATACAATTGGTTGCCAACATCGTTGTCATTGGGGCTTTACGACGCACTCAGCTGCTGAGGCTATATGGCGTTGCCTACGTGTCACCCCTGGCAGGAAGGGCGGCACCGCGGGGAATTGAACCCCATACCTCTGGTTTCCCAGACGCGTGGTGATAAGCGCAGACACGTTAAGCGCTACGCTACCGGTACTCTCGCCAACTCCGGCAATATGCCTACGTGAGTTTGTTCGTTGTGTTCCCGGTGACTGTCTCCCTGGTCTGGGCCAGGGGTCACCGGGCCTCGTGTGGCGGTACTGTTGACCGCCGAGGCTGATCGGTCTGTAACCTCTCTCCCCCGCAGGGTCGCCGCACGGCGCGTGAGGCCAACAGGCACTTCGGCCTGGCCCCGGGCATGCCGCACAGCCACACCAAGCCTTACGTGCGCAGCAAGGGTCGCAAGTTCGAGCGGGCGCGTGGTCGCCGCTCGTCGTGCGGCTACAAGAAGTAGGCGATCGCAGTGGACGTTCAATACATGGGATCCGAGCGACGCGCGCCGGCTTTTGTGGAGATAACGCGGAGGAGGTGGAAAGAAAGATGTGCGAGGCGGAGAGGTAATGACAGACGCACGCCGGCTTTGTGGAGAGAGGACGGAGGAGGTGGAAAGATGTGCGAGGCAGACAGAACGACAGACGCACGCCGGCTTTGTGGAGAGAGGGTGGAGGAGGTGGAAAGATGCGCGAGACAGAAGGAAAATGAAGGGAGATTGAGGAGGTATTTAGAGAAATTGAGTAGGTGTTTTTGCATGTACCGTATCATACCGGCAATTACAACAGAGTGCACGGAGGCTGAAGAGCGGGGCATGCAAATATGGCGTAACATACACAATTCGTTACAATTGCATGCAATTACACGCAATGCCCGTGACTGTCTGCAGCGTGCTTACAAGATGCGTCGTTCGCACAACTATAAGAGTATACTGTATTAAGGTGCATTTGGTCGTCATTGGGTAGCATGTGATCTGTTTGTTTCTCGTTTAAATTTTAGCACGTTATGATTTTTACATTTGCGGGCATTCCGACTTTACAAGGTTCTGTGTTCATATCTATGGGGAGACGGGGGCGGCTTCGGCCTTACTGCTTGCGCCTAGTGTATGGCGGAAGGCACGCAATATTTTAAGACTGGGGAGTTTGGAAGAAGCGGCGTCCGATGTGGGGAAACCGGAAGAGTGGAGATCACCATAGCAAACACGCACGCTGGCTTGCCATTTGGAAGCTCTTGTGAGCTGGATGGGCGTGAGATGCTGCTCGGCGGACGTGGCGAAAACCAAGAGACACTGCGACTTGTACAGGTATGAGCATTTATAGTTTGAGGACGAACGATAAAGGACCCGCGTTGGGTGCAAGTGCCTAGCGCGATTGCAATACCTCAACCGGCGCATGCCTAAAGCTAGATGCCTAAACCGGCGGGTACCATGGGATCATGCACCATGCACGAAGAGGTGGCTGCTGCCACCGATCTAAACGCTGGATACCCCTGTTTGGACTGATTGGAACTGGTACAAGTCCGCGTCACCCTCCGTAACGTCAGATTGAAGTCACAAATACCACATTCTGTGTGATTTGTGCGCTAGATTCGCTTGTTATAGGCGTTACTGTTACCGGTCGTCGCGAGGTGCACGTGTTATTTAGGTTTGTCAGGCAACACATCCCGTTATCCCTGCGTACGCACCGGATGCGGAGAGGCCGGATGGTCACCAGATACGTCAGGTACATTACGGAAGACACAACAAATCGACATTGCAACGTCATCTCATTGCAGAAGCACTGTCGCTGGCTGATGTAAATCGCTGATGGGCGGGCATGACCCCATCCGCTGTATGACGGTGCATTGCCCATTGAGGTCCCCCGGCCGATAGCGTGATGGCCAGCATGCGGTGGCCTGGGAGAAATACTCATAAACGCGAGAAGAAAAGACGGGCACTGTGTGGATTCGATAGCACTGCGTTGGGATATTAGCCGCCTGTGCGTGAGCATTTTTCGGTGACGCCATCGGTTTGTTTTCGGGTGGTGGTCGAACGGCGTACAGCTCGGGGCAGGGTCTAAAAAGCCGACATGAAGCAGACACTTGTTCCCCGAAACGGCTCTGTCGATCGCCTTAAGACCTTCAACAATCGATGCAGTGCAATGACGAGACGTAAAATGGCGATGTCGAGACCTGACCTGAGGTCAAACACCCCAAAAAAAGGCGAAGGAAAAATTTCGCATGCAAAACCAGACAACTCGGATCATAGAACCCTTTGCACCGATCGCTGTGAAACCCTTACCATTGGATCCGCCATGACTTGAGGATTTTGTGACCCTATGTCGGCTCAAGTCATCAAATTTCCTAAGTTCCAAACTTATTGCTTGCAAACACCTCAGTCTTCAGAACCTGCTGGATTGAGTACTTCCAAATTTTCACCACTGGATGCATCGTACCTGATTCTGCCTTGCCGTTGAAAATTCGATGACCGTAGGTCAGGTCTAAAGTCTCCATTTTGCGAATAACAAAATTCTCACTTGCAGGCAACTCAGTTCCCAGAACTTACCTAACCGATCGCCGCCAGATTCACCGTTGGATGCGCCATGCCCGATACTCTGTTGCAATTGAAAATTTGGTGACCCTAGGTCAGATTATAAGTCATTAAATTTCAGAACCGTTCACTACCAAACCTTCACCATTGCATGCGCCATACCTGATCTCCACTAGCAGTTAAAAATGTGATGGCCATAGGTCCGATTAAAGTCGTCAAATTTTACAAATTCTAAAATTTCTGCTCGCAGGCAACTCATTTCTCAGAAACTACCAGTCTGATTGCTGCGAAACCTTACCATTCATTACGCCATTTACCATGATTCCCTGTTGAAGGTGCAAGTACGTCAAGTGTTATTTATAACTATGCCTTTCCCTGGCATGCTTAATCCCAAGAAAACGTGCAATCTAGTTAGTCTGGCCTTATGAAGAAGGCGGTGTCGTTTGTCACTTGAGTTTCTCCTTAGCGGAGGTGTTTCTAAAAGTCACGCGCTGAATTGTGCATGATGCCATCGCGGTAAAACAACAATGGCGGTGGTCCACATGATGGTGTGTGGGGAATGCCGTTCTGTCATGAATATGTACATGCCTGCTCAGCAGCCATTTTTCCGAAAATCTTAGCCTTAAAATGTTAGAATTTTCCATGATATTGAGGAAGTCGATAAGTTTCATGCGTGTGCATACGTAGCACACCCAGTTTTTTAGGGTTGCGCACAGTGAAATGGGCTCCCATATAAAAATGGCATGCTAAGAGCCTTAACATTTACTGGCCGTAATGCGAGGATTTTCTTGGATGGGGTCGCAAACTTTTAGAGTGGGCCCACAAGGTTACGTGTCCCTCCCCCTTGGCGAAATCCTAGATCCGCCCTTGCTTCCTGGACGATGTCTGCCTCGCCGGTCGGGGCGGTGGGGGGAGCCGGCGCAACGTGGGGGAGGTGCTGAAACGCCTCGTGGTTGCAGGTCTGAGGTTGAATCCCACCACGTGCCAGTGCATAAGGCCCGAAGTAGAGTACCTCGGCTACCGGGTAGGTCAAACTGGTAGCCGCCATAGGCGGATGCTGCTCACGCAATCTTAGGGGGGAGGAATTGACGTATACGAAAGTCGGATGAATAAGGGATATGTCGGCCCAGAGATATCGCTGCTGAGGACCGGGATCGGTTCCTCAGCGTTTTTCGGTAGCCTGGAATATAGCTGTTCACGAAGCGGTGGCATGTTTTGAAGATCTACAGATAGAGTAATTTGTGAGTTATGCGTACGAAGATTTCGATGTTCCGATTGCCCCGTAGCCTTACACCCCACGGCCAGCGACCGCGCCGCACTGAACCTCGGCACCAGTGACATCACCACCCCGTGCGGAGCGGGCGGAAACCCGACTTTTGTCATAGCCCATCCACGGCATCCCCTGCGGCGAACAGAGCTTTGCACACGACACGCAAACGGTGCAAAACGGGAGAACAGGATTCGGGGCTGGGGTGTTCTGCTGGCGTTGTGTGTTTGTGTATGTTGTATGGTACAACACTGTGTTTGTTAACGGAAAGACATTGTGCCATTGGCACCTTCTTAGGTAGATAGGAGCTTGTATTAAAATGACATTAGAATGGTTACCTACAAGGCCAAAGAACACAAAGTGAATGCAGCTAGAAAGCAGATAAATGTTGGTTGATGCAGATTGTATTCCCGGAACGTGCTGAAGAAATAGCCATAGCTCATGCTTTGCTGAAGAGATTGCTGCCGGACACCCATCATTGGGTGGAGTTTAGTAAAGTCTGTCAAGTTGTAGGCCAGATTGTACATGATAGAAATGTGGCAATGCACAGTTCTTGCTGATGAATGGATGCATGCATCTGTATAGTATTCTCTAATGTTTGTGTATTATGTCTCACTTCAGGACAAGACAAAAATAGGTAACAGTAAGCAAAGAATACTGGCATAACTCAAGATGTTCCGCAACCGCTTGTTTGGTGGTGTGTGGAAGCCAAAGAACCCTCATTCACTGGAGCACCTGAAGTAAGACTTGCATTGTATTGCCTGTTTCAGCTAACCTTGACCTTACAGTGGTAATTAAGAGGCCAGTTGGTCTGTTTATCCCAGTCTCTTCCAGCTAATGTTCAGGTAACAGCAGTGTCATGTGGGGATGTAATTAGCACAGGATGTTATACATGACATCAGCCCACTGTGAATCATGCCTAGATTTGAGCTGCCCAGTTGTGGTTGACAATACCACTGGCTACTTTGGATGGAAGAGCATTCCTACCATGTATGACCAGGTGCTGAAGAAGCTCTGGCAAGGTTGAAGGTTCCAGCTGTACTAGGCATAGCAGAACAAAACTGCCAGCTGTGGCACATCATGCTTTCACTTACCAGACCATGTTGCCATGGCCTAAACCACTGCATAATGCGAGCAGAGCTTGGCCTTCCTGCAGGATTACATGTCCAGGCCCAATTATACATAAATATTGCAGCATAAATAGCATATATCCATGAAAGGGGAATATTCAATGTCAATCAATGGAAGATAATGAAGAAAAACTTTCCCATCTTCAATGTTTTAACATGGCTGAATGCAAGTGGATGTCACTAGTCATATCAAGTTTATAGTCCAACTACTTATTTAGCACTTTCACAATAGTGCTGACCAATACATGTATCATGTGCAGCATGTATATCTCAGTATGCATATTTGTGCGTTTACATCATGGGGTAGCACTCTTTCAGTGGTCACTAATCCTCAAGTCACATATTATGACACAACATATACAGGAATTGTGCATTACATGCACATGTTTTAATCATGCTTGCATGTGAATACATACAAGGTAAGTCATTCCACACAGTTCCATCAGCAACCTATTCTAGTGGCCAGTCAAGAGCATGACACTTAATGGCAGGAAGGAATGTCTGTAATATCACCCAGTGAGTTCAGTTGGGAGCTGGTTATATACTTCTGGCACCTGGGTATGGATATACCCTTTCCTCACCT